TTTCACTCAATACTCACATCAGTTATGATTACATCGAAACTTATAAAACACTGTTTCGATGCAAATATCATATTTTTATGTCAACTCTTATTTTCCTCATTAACTCCTTTGGGTTTGAATTGATTTTTAGGTTTTATGTCATTATCAGCAATTTAATGGTTTGTTTGTTTTTAGGAATAATAATCGCAAGTGTTTTAAAGATTTCAAGTTTTCATCAATTATTATTACTGGGATTGTCATCGGGAGCGACATTTCATTTGGTTTTCCTAACACTATTGCAAAGCGAACGGTGCACTCGACTGGCAGGCCTTATACAATACTTGGCTATGTATACCGGGTTTACACTCGTCCTATGTTTTGTACTTATAATTGGAAATAGCAACTAATTTATATAATCGTAATTAATCAATTATAGCATGTACATATTTTTCTAAAATGATTTGTTTAAAAGTTAATTTACATTTTTGGAAACTCAATTATTTGTATATTTTATCTTGTTCATAAATAGACTAAATATTTGGAATTATACCAATTGAGCTATATTTAAAAATTTATTAATATATTACAATTAAAAATAAATTAATCTATCTTAAACAACTTATTTAAGTAATCATCTGATAAATTGCTCAAATTGTATATTAACATAGACATCAATTGAATATATTAAAACTCATCTTTGTAATCATCCTTTAAATGAATTTGGTTAAATAAATTTACCTAAAGTTAATAATTAGAAAAATTCATTAACATAACACTGATATTTAAACTACTATTTTGATCTCAAACTTTTAACTTACTTGAAAAACATCGGCATTTTTGAGGTAACGTTTGACAGCCAATAAGCTGGTGTATAGAGTGGGCGCCCACTTCCCAAAATGGGTAAACTGTCTGAGATTCTCACCAAATAAGCCTATTTTGATGAGCCAACCCGGCTTTCCCTCTGCCGGTGCCATCCCACTGACCGCCTGTTCCACCTGTTCGATGGACCAGACCCTCCAAAGGGGTCGGTTTGCTCTCAAATCTGTCATCTCTTTTAGTATTTCTCTAAATTTAGGCAAAACCTCGTCTACAAACTCACTAATGGATGTGCCTTCGAGATCCCGGAGCGCATGCAGTTGTGGCACAGAATCTGACTCAAGTGTCTGTAATGTGGACACAATTCTTAGGCTATAGTAATAATAATCGCGAGCCATTTGGTGAAAGTTTTTCAGGTTTTGTTTAAATGTTGATTTATTTTGAAAGGACAGGTAGTCATCAATATCTTGGCTACATTTCTTCATATCGGTTGAGACATCGCTCATGTTTTCAAACTTTTTGACGGAATCCGGGCTAACACTCCAGATATGATTGTTATACAAATCAGTGTCACGTTTCCATGTAATCCAATGGTCTCTAGTTTGCAAATCTTTTGGTGGTTTTGGCATATTTTTGTGAATATTTTTGGTTTCACTTTTTGTTAACTCACATACACTGGTGATAATTTGATAGGAGACTAAAATAAAGCAAACTAACAATTTATTCATTGTTTAAAGTTTTGAGTTTTGAGTTACAAAAATTAAATGTTTTAAAGAATCATGTTTAATAAAAACATTTTTACAGATTTATTTTAATGACATTTCAGTAACATAACTGAATTAATCAAATCATTTATAATTACTGTACATTAACACCTGTACAGTACCAGTGCCTCAGATATTCTGTACAATATTCATATCAATCTTAAAACAATAATGTTATGATTTATAATAATAGACATGTTTTTAATTAATTAAATATATAACGAGCCTTGCCAGCCCCTTGTAACAACATACAAAGTACTGTGTTTTCGTGAAAAGGAAGATCATGAACAAATGAAAAAAGCTATATTTCTGGATTATTTTTATATAATCTAGTTTACTAGTAAAATACAGTCCAAGTACTTTCCGTTCATCTCATTGTTATATTATTTTAATAAATAACTTATATCTATATAAAGCACATGTTTTCGTAAACCTATAAATAATTATTTTATTATAAACACAGAACATATATTTTATCAATAATATATTAAATTAAATAATTTCTAGTATTTTAATTAATAAGTTGTGTTTCAGTTATTATTGTGAATATACAATTTTTGTAAATTTTAATACGAATCCAATATTTGACTGAATGGTTGTGTCAACTCGCCCTCATAGACATACCTACCGGAGCCAACATTTGTGTGAAGGGGTTGCTTCAGGAATGATAAATCAATGAATGCTTTAGTATTGACCGGAATGTCGATCTGTTATTAAATATAAATTATTAACAAAAATAACAAAAATGTTAATAAAATGGAAATTACTGTTAAAGTAATGTTCGCGCCGTTAGTCTCCCAACTCATCCCAATTAACCCATTGATAGACTGATACCGAGCCGTCATTTTATGGAGATTACCGCCGGGTTTCGGTGCGATTACTATACTCTTGAATCCCACGCCTTCCTCGTGAGTGTCAATACCGGCCACCGATTGGAAGAGCCATCGACCGACTGATCCCAAGGAGTAGTGATTGAATGAATTCATAACCGGGTCTTGAAATCCCTTTTCTTGTGTCCATCCGTCCCAACGCTCCCATATAGTGGTCGCGTTGTATTTAATACTATATCCCCACGAGGGGTATGTGTCCTGTAATAGCAAACGGTAGGCCACATCCGAGTGACCCAAACGGCTCAGTGTTGGACACAAATAGCCCACACCTGACATACAATTATACAACTAATTTATGATAAATTCAATTATTTTAAATTTAAATGATAACTAAAATATGCTGACCAATGAATCCGGTGGTCAGGTGCCAGTCGTGGGCCTTAATATTGTCCACTAAATGGTTGGCCGCCAATGGGATCAGGTTTTGGGGCAACAGTTCAAAGGCCACGGCTATGACATACACCGTCTGAGTGTTGCCTTTGATTGTGGCGTCAGTTGTGTTGACAAATGCTTTGACGAAAGCGTTGCCGATATTTGTATGCAATTCACTGTATTTCTTGT